GGCCGCGCGCGGCGCAGGCCCAGTGCCCGGCGGGGGTCGACGTAAGCCCAGGCAGAGCGGGTCGGGCTCCGAGTGAGGCCCACTTACCCGGCCCCGGGCAGCAGCGGCGGCGCCTCGCGCTGCGGCTTCTCCAGAGACTCGCGCGGAAGGAGGGAGCCAAAGAGAGGGAATTAAAAAAAAAACGCGGCCGTAGATGAGCCGCCGCGGCTTCCGTACTCCGTTCAAACTGGTCCCGCCGAGCCAATCGGAAGGTTCAGCCGCCCCACGTGGCCTGGCAATGGGGAGACCCAGGCCCAGCGGAAGCCGGGTCACGTGATGAAAGAGCTGCGCCCTCTCTTGGCCTCTCCGGCCGGTCGATCCTCCCAGCGTCTCGTTTTCTCAGCATCTCGCGCTGGCCAGACGGCAGCTTTTTCCTGGAGCCAGGAGTTTGATGGCGCGTGGGGACTTTTTGTGCGTGTGGATCCAGGAACCCCTCCGTCAGAGTCAACGGCGCCCTAGTCACCCCCTACTGTGAAAAGTGAACTGTGCTTTCCTTCCCCCATCCAGATATACTTGAGAGGAGTACACTATGTGCGCGCAAGGAAAGAGCTGAGAGACAGAGCCTGGGGTGGACTTTAAACCCCAAAGACAAAGGAAAGAAAGCAGGACAAAGGGAGTGCCTGAGAAGGACTGGAATCCTATAGAAGCCTCTGCCACATTTGATTTATCTTCCAGTACTATTTGACAGTTTTTACAAGTAAATGGAGAAAAAAATTACAAGGATATAAAATTTTAAATAGAACGAAATCAACTAATAAAATAAATTTGGAAGCAGGCCTACTCTCTTTCCCTACCTGAAGCTGAATGAGATGGAACAGCCCCGGAAATTCAGGCGAGGGCAGGTCATGAAGAAATCGTGATCCTTGTGCCGTCTGAAGACTGTAAGAGACCGTTTTTCCTTCTCTTGAAGGAGAGCGGATGGGAAAGAGCTGGGGACCCTGGAACGTCCCCTCCCGATCCTGCCAGTAACAAGATGGGCGAGCTCCTGCCACTCGGAGCCTCACTTTCCCCACTGGTCAAATGGGTATAAAAATAATTTGAACGATTAGAGATAATCCAAGTTAAGCATTAACTGGCCAGCTCTAATTGTTCTTTTAAAAAGTGGCTTTTACCCCGCAAGACTCAAGGCTGACCTTTCACTGTATTCAGTTCCTCCCTAAACCATATTTACTGAATCAACCGGGGCTCTAATCCCAAAGGACAACCCAGCCCTATCCTGGGTTATCTTTCTGACCCTCGGGAAAGAAACAGGTCAATTTTTGCCCATCTGAAGGACGGGGACAGCTTTCTCAGCTTACTTCTCGTTGGCAAGTCAGTCCCGGCTCCGTTCATTCATGGAAAGCAAGTATTGGGGCCTCCCAACATAGGGAATGGTTGGCTGGCGCCTAACTCCACTCGGTGAACCGCAGAAGACACCCTAAAAAAGCAGCTGGGATTCCCATGGCAGCCAGCTCCCCGGGACAGAAACCTGGGTTGCGAGACACGTGCAGAAAGCCGCCATCTACGCATGCGCAAAGGCCTCCCTCGCCACCACCCGAACCTTGGAACTACAATCCCGTCATCCCACGCGACTGGGCCGCCGCGTTTTGGGACTCAGGCTGAGAATCAATTTGGGGGATGGGGAGATCTGCAGACCCACCAAGGTGCGTGTGGAGCAGAAGAAGAGTGAGACTGGGGAGCTTGGATTGGGTTTAGGGGTTCCTGAGGGGTGTGAACGGTAGGAACTTTCTGACCAAGCTTGAGGGCGCCCCACAAGATGGGGAGCGAACTAGGGGTGCAGGAGACCGTTTATTAATATTCAACCCCTCCTTTAAGTATGGCAAGTTTCCAGGGCCCGTGCGCAAGCCTTGGGGGGCTCGGGCAGAACAAAGTGGTCGTGGTCCCTGCTCCATGCGCGGTCCACATTATTGGCCCTCATGTGGTCCCGGAAGTCCTTTCTTCCTCTCCCCAGCTGCGGAGTTTCTTGAGTGCTGATCAGCACAAGGTTTGGGGTTGTTTTCCTGTGTCTTAAGCACCTACTGTATGTCAAACGATTTTCAAATATAATCTCATGCAATTCTCACAAAAGCCCGATGACGGCAAACTTACTTCAACTAGAAACTCTCAGTGCAAAAAGAAACTCACGGAATCAGTCGCGAATGTGAGAGACAAACACACTCTGTTTTCAACAGCCTCCCTGCCTAAGCATCTCATCACACTGCCCCCGAATGAAAAGGTCAGCATTTCTCAAACAACTCTCAAACGCAAGCCAACTTCTTCACCCGGAGAAGCAATGAGTTGTTTTAAACCATGCCGGGGTTAAAGTACAGGATATGAATACTACCCTTACTTTAGAAGTGAACTCTAAAGGTGCCTCTGTAGTTTACCTCTATTTTGTAGATGAAGAAACTGAACCACAGAAAGGCTAAGCGACTTACCCGAAGTTAAACAGCCAGCAGGCACCAGAATAGTTGTGTGACTCACCAAAACCTGAATCTGATTCTCCTCCCACTTCAGACTTTTCACAGGTCATAGCTGGTAAGCACCGTGAAGGGTGGTGCCTGGACTTTCAGCTCTTCCTGCCTCTTGACACTAGAATAGAGGCTGAGCTGCTGCAGGGGCAACCTACTTCTCCCACTTGTTTCTTTTTAAAGATCCAGCCACTGCTGGTGGCTTTGAGGGAGGAAGAGGTAGGGATGGTTCCATTAGCTTTCTGTGTTCCCGCCTGCCACACTCCACCCCCAAGGCCAAAGTCATACCTGGGGAGAGATCATTGAGCTGATGTGAAAAATAAACCAGAGAATCTTTGTGTGTTAGCAGGAAGTGAGAAGAGGCTCTAATGCCTGTCTGCTCTTTCTCGACAAGCCTGCCATGGCTTCGGCTTAGGGTCTTTGCATCCTGTTCCTTCTGCCTGGACTATTCTTCCAAGGACCATCCTCACTGCCTGCCCCCTCTCCCCCTTTAGAACTTGGAACAAATGTCACCTTCTCGGAGAGGCCATCCTTGATCAATTTGTATTTAAGATTGCTATCTCACCTAATGTCATACCAGTCCCCACTTTCATGCATTTCTTCTCATATAATGTATAACCATCTGATGTGCTGTGTATTTTTTTTTTCTTGTCTGTTTCCTCTACTTAGAACGTGAGATCCACAGAGGTAGGGACTTTGTTTTGGTACCTACTGTGTCTACATATAGCAGGTGCTCAGTATATGTTACATGAGTGAACGCTCCACCCCAGCCTCCACAGACTGCATCTGGCAGTCCTAGGGACGGGGTGGTGGGTGGGAGGGATGCCACCTGAGCCCTCTGGGCACTACAGCCATCTGCCCTTCCTCCTTCTGTCTCCACAGGTCCCAGGTACCCAGTAACAGCTGAGTCTATGTTTCCAAGGCTTGGACCTCCCCTGATTGAAAATGGAAGAAGCCAGGCTCGGTGGCTCAGCCTGTAATCCCTCGCTTTGGGAGGCTGAGGTGAATGGATTGCCTGAGCCCACAGGTTCGAGACCTGCCTGGG